TCTCTCTCCCTCTCCCTTTCTCTCTAAAATCAATAAAATACATATTTAAAAAAAACAAAACAAAACAAAAAAACTGTAAACGGAAGAGGAGACATTGTAACCAATAACCCCAGAGACCCGCACAGTGAGAGGCTGCTGCGGCCCAGGCCGACGGGCGCTCCAGCCCACCTGGCCCCGCCAGCCCTCACGCCGGAGGCTTTCCCTGGCCTTGGTTCCCTGTTTATTTTGGCCTAAAATCTCTTCAAGGTTTAAAGTAAAAGCATTTTGTGCGATGGCACGGTGTTTTGGAGAGAGCGATGGGAGGGGACTCGAGAGGTGGGTTCCAGCTGTGCTTCGCCTCCTGTACTGAGACCTTGGACAGGTGGCCCCACTGGGGGCTCCGGGGGGCCTCCGGGTCCCAGGCGCCTGCGCTCAGGTGGGAGCAGTTGCCCTTGCTCTGTCCTCCGGTCCCAGCACCGAAGCTGGCCCGGCTGGTGGTGAGAACCGGCCTGCGCCTCCCGGAGCGTGAATTGCACAGACTCGGCCTGGCCTTAGTCCTGGAGGCTTAGAGTGCCGCTGGCCGTCCCGGCTGCGGCTGGGGGGGACCTGGGCGCGGAAATCCCCTCCTGCTTTGGCGTGTTGTGTTGGAGCCCGAGAGCTGGTGTTTGCGGGCAGCACAGTCCGTGCAGAGAGCCCAGAGGTGGCCGGGAAGCAAGCCCTGTCTCTGAGCCATCGGCCTGTCGCCCTCCCGCAGGCCCGGGTGTCTGCGCCACCCGCTGGGTCCAGGGACAGCGGCCTGCCTCTGAGGAGCGTTAGGGCTCTCCTTGGCCCCCCACTGGAGGCCTCCTTGCTTCTGTTCCTCTTATGAAGTGTCTCCTGCTCCGGGTGCTCTGAGGGACGGCCCCTCCATGGTCCCTGCCCACTCCTGGCGCCCCCAGCCTTGCTGGTCTCGGGCTGAGCCATCCCAGGGCCTGCCCAGCCGGAGTGGAGGAGACGCAAGGCCTGGGAGCCTGGAGGAAGCAGTGTCTTTGGAGCCGTCTCTGAGGTGCCTTAGGTCCTGTGACTCCTGCTGCCACCCACCCCGCCCCCACCCTCTCCGGACCTGAGCCCTGGGGCCCTGCACCCCGGAACCGGCAGCCTGAGTGTGGGGCATCTGGGCTCGGCGGGGTTGAGGCCACCAGCCTGGGTGGATGGAGAGGAAGGCAATTTGTCATTTAGGAGCCGAGGGAGGCTCCTTGCTGCGGCCCCTCCCCTTCCGCGTGACCTCTGGCCATGGCCACAGACAGAGAAACAGGGAAAGGCTTCCCAACAGCTTAGGAAGTGCTTGTCAGCGCCTGAGTGCAGGCTGCAGCGGCCCGAGGCGCGGCCCCCTGGGAGTTGAGTGGGAAAATAGGGATCCCGGAGCCTCCAGTGTTTGTGTGGGGGAGCGTGGGAGGACGGGATGGAGTCAGATCTCCCCGGGGCGGGGCGGGGGGGGGTGCGCTCTGTGCTCAGCTCCGTGTGTGCGACCCAGGTCCTGGGAGCTCCGGCGGAGAGATCCCACCCGTGCGCTGTGCCCGGAGCTCCGGCCCAGGAGGGACACGGAGCTGGCACCGGCGGGGACCAGTGCGGGTGGAGGGGGGACAGGGCGGGAGAGAGCTGTGTCTTTAAGACTGTGCGGTGGTTATACGTACTTTTCTCTCCTGTGAATGGGTTTTGCTGTAAATTACAGCTCTGCCCGTGGTCCCTTGGGTCAAAAGAACTGGTCTCCAAACAGAAACAGCTCCGATTGGTGCCCTGCGCTTCCCTCCCAGCCCCTTCCTAATTGAAACCAAATGTGCGGCGTGCTGGATGCTGGGAGCCTGGCGCCGGCCCAGGAATCCTCAGAATGTGAGGTTTCTCGCAAAGGCATCTTGCATCAGCCCCGTGGATGCGCGCTGCCGCGGCCACCAGGCTGAGCGGGCGGCCTTCACACCCCGCTCTGCTCTCCCTGCGGCCGGACCGGGATCACAGCTCCGTCCTCGGCTTCTGCCCTCAGTGCGCACTCCTGGATGAGCGTAAGTTCCGCGTGTTTTTTTCTTTCCTTCGTTTTCTTTCTTTTCCGCAAACGAAAGCTCTGACTGTGCTTCTGGCGTCTCCGGAAGAGTTTACAGAGGAGGCCGGAGGCGTTTCTTCAGGTGGGGCCGGGGGCAGCTGGGCGGCTCCCGGAATCCGGGCCTCCCTGCTCCAGGCGCTGGGCTCTGGTTCCAGGGAAGATCGGCAGAGCTGTGCCGAGGGCCAGGCAGCCAC